CTAGGTGCTTTACAGATGTTTTCTCACTTATTCCAACAATCCTATAGAAGGACATGTACTGTATGATTCCATTTACATGAGGTAGCTAGAATAGTCAAATTTATCTAGATGGAAAGTAGAATGGTGGTTAGCAGGGGCTGGGGGACAAGGTAATGGGGAGTTGTTTAATGGGTGCAGCATTTCCATTCAGGAAGATGAAAAGTTCTGGAGTTAGATGGTGGTAATAGTCGCGCAGCAATGTGAATGTCCTGAATGCCACTGAATTGTACACTTATTAATAGAAATGGTTGAAATGATATATTTTGTGTTACATATATTTACAGTAATAAAAAAATTGTTTTAATTCTATAATTTAGTTATCCCTATTTGTAAGTGAGGAAATGCGGTTCTGAGGTCACACCTAGGGTAAGTGGTATAGAATCAGGATTTAAACCTGATTAAATGGATAGTAAATTAAATGGATAGTGGTCTGGATAGTAAATATGTGACATTGTTACTCCCCTCCCTGTGTGAGCTTCTGAGAGTGACTCTCCACCCCAATACTCCCCCCAGCCTAGAAAACAAGATGCCACAGTTTCACCCAGATGCCCCCACACCTCCAGGGGAGAGCCTGCTTATTTGTTATCTCTCCCCAGCTGATAAGACCACCCAGAGACCCACCAATGCCACCACAACCACTGCAGCCACCACAGCCACTGTAGCCACCACAGCCACTGCAACAACCACAGCTGGTGTCAAGGTCACAGAGGACAAAGAGAGCTCAGGGTCTCAGCCCCTGAGTTTGGAGACTGCATTCGGGGCAGCTGCAGCCATTGCTGTGCTCATTGTCATGATTTTCGGACTGATGGTCTTCCTCAGGTGGAAGAGAAGGAAAGGTAAGTGACCCAGGACCCAGCCTCTCCCCAAGCTTCCCAACTGAGGGTTTCTCAGAACCCACCTGCCAAGGAATCCCAAAGGTGCTTCTTAAAAATGCAGACCACTCCTGGGCTCCCCTCAAACCCACCAGGTCACACTCTGAGGTCTGGTCTTAGGAATGTGCATCTTGGACAGGCTCCTCAAGTGGAGATTGTGCAGGAAAAAGTTTGAGAGCCACCCATCCCTTTCCACACCGTCTGATCACTTCCCAGTTCTTCTCTTGACTTAGTCATCTCTCATCAATCCTCACCTTGTGGTTCACAGGGAGGGGAGGGCCTGCTCTGGGAAAAGTCCAGAGAGAACAGAAGGGATAGGAAGTTGGCTCAGCTCAGCAAGCATTGGCCAACTGCCCACTTGCCAGGGCCTGGCTTGAAATCGGAGATATGAAAGTAGATAAAACAGACTCTGCTTTCAAGGAACTCAATTTTGGGGTGGGGTGGGGGGTATCGGTTGCCTCAAGGGCTAACAGCTTCATTGAGAAAGAGCTATGAGGCATTTAACAAGGTTGGGAGCAAGGAGAGGTGGTCGGGGAGGACATCCCAGAGGAAGTGGCATAGACAAAAAGTCCCCAAGAATAAAAAGAATTAGCCAGGCAAGTGGTGAGAGTGGTATACTGGTCACACACTTTCCTTCTGGGTGGAGGAAACCATTCCAAGAACTGTAGGAAGCTCAGTGCTGGTGGAGGTGGCAGGAGATGAGAGAAGAGAACCTTGGAAATCACTCCCAAGAGCCTCTGATCCCAGAGGCAACGTGAAGCAGCAAAGGGGTGGCCTCATCTCCCTGTCATAGATACAGCAGTCTGCGGTGGAGGGGCTGGAGGTAGACCAGGCTGGATCAGTCTAACGCAGTGTTGGTGCAGATGGAGGGAAAGGGCCAATAAGACTTGATTGTTAGACTGATGTAGAAGCAAGGAGCAGGAATAAGCCTATGTTTCAACCTGGAAGAATAAGACTATGATGAAACTACCAAACTAAAACAGTGAATAGAAGAAGAGAATATATTTGCAGGGGAAAGATGATCTGTTTTGTTTATTTTGGGATATGTCCTATTTGAGATACTTGTGTGGCATCTGAATAGAGTTTTCCATCATAAATTCGTACATATTTACAGATCAAAAGAGAGTATAAGGCTAGAGCCATTAATTAGTTATATACCAACATCCCCCAAAATTGATTTGACATTACTGTAAAGAAAATCTGCAATGAAAGGAGATTCACCCTATCAGACATTAAAGCACAGAAGTGAAGAGCCTGCAGTCACATCCTGGTGTCAAAATCATACCATCGCTAGGGAAACTTTGGCACAACTTTGAATGCCGTGTGCCTCAGCTTCCTCATGGAAATGGGGATAACAATAGTACCTATGTGGGGTTGTCCTGATGATTAAAGGTATGCATATAGAACAGATCCAAGCACAGAGTGCACACTATGGGAGCATTAGCACCTATAATTATTCAGCAATGATCATTAAAACAATGTAATACTGGCTTATTAATACACAGATAACCAATGGAAGAAAGAGAAAAACCCAAATATAGCAGGATGAAAACAAACCCAAATATATGCAGAAATTTGCTCGGTTAAAAGGTAGCACTTCTAATCAATGGGGAAAGATGGGTAATTCAATAAATGGTGCTAGAACTATTAGGTAGCCATCTGAGAAAAAAATAACATTATTTCCCTACCTCATAATTTGCACCAAAATTAATTCCACAGAGATCAAAGATTTAAATAAGAAAAAATTAACCCTAGAACTAGAAGAAAACATGCAGGATTATTTTATAACCACAGAGTGGAGACAATCTACCTCAGTATGACAAAACCCAACACACATGGATAAAAATATTTATAAATTCAACTACATAAAATTAAAAAAAAAAAAACTTCAGCAGAGCAAAGAACCACAGTGGTTGTTCGCTGAGAATGAGGAAGAGGGTCAGGGAATTGAAGAGAAAGTTTGACATGGGAAGTTGGAAGTGGGGCCCAAGGATTCAACTCAGATGAAAAGCCATAAATCCACAAAAGCATCAGGGTACACGATTGTGTTTTTCCCCAACTGTATTCAACTATTCAGGTTTAAAACCTTTAAGGATTTGTGTTGGTTAGAAATTGTGTTCAGCTGCTACCATTAGGGACCAGAAGTAACCATTGCTTAAATAAGACAGAGTAGGTTTTTTTTCCCTCTTGTACAAGAATCTGGGGCAGACAGCAGAGGCCACCATTCTTACGTGCTCAGGCTCCTACCTTTCTGATGCACTGTTCTTGATACTGGCCTCTGTCCTGAAGGTTGCCTCATGGTCCAAGATGGCTGCTAGGACTCCAGCCATTATTTCTGGGTTCCTAGCAGGAAACAGGAGGAAGAAAGAAAGGAGAAAAAAAAAACTATACTCCAACTGTTTGTCCCCCCTTTTAAAGAGCTTTCCTGAAAGTCCCAACCCACAACCCTGCTTATATCTTATTGGCTAAAATTTAGTCATATGTCCCACAGCCATCTGTAGCAGAGCACATTGCCACTCCAAATAAAATCAATTTTCTGTGACTAAGTAACAAAACTGAATGGATACTGGGTAAACAAATAGCATTCCCCGTCATAGGACATATCCGGGATTGTCAGCTCAGGGTGGCAGACAGATAGGAGATCACAGGAGGTCAAGGAGTTAGTGCAAGAGCATGAATGGAAAGCAGAGGAGTCAGCAGGGAGCTTAGGCAACCTAGAAAAAAACGGGTTATCAAGGGACAAGACATCAATGAAGTAAAAGAACAGGTGCAGTGGGGTAATGACAAAAGACAGCAGGAACACTTCCAAGTTTATTCTATGAGATTAGCATTACCCTGATATCAAAGCCAGACGAAGTCACTACAAGAAAAATAAAAACTATAGATCAATGAGCCTGGTGAATACTGATGCAAAAATCTTCAACAAAATACTAGCAAACTAAATTCAACACATCCAAAGAGTTATAACCATGACTAAGTGGGATTTATTCCTGGAATGCGATGATGGTTTAATATACAAAAATCAATCAATGTAATGCACCACATTAACAGGCTGAGGGGGGAAAAAAACCCACATGATAATCTCAATTGATACAGAAAAAGCACTGGACAAGATTCAAGACCCTTTCATGATAAAAACAGGAAAACAGGTTTGTTCATCAACAAACCAGGAATAGAAGGAAAACTATCTCAACATAATACAGGCCATTTATTAGAAAGCACCATCACTCCATGGTGAAAGACTGAAAGCTTTTCTTCTAGTATCTGACACAGGGCAATGATGTCCACTATCACTACTTCTACTCAACATACTATTGGAAGCCCTAGCCAGAGGAATCAGGCAATAATAATAATAATAATAAAAGGCATCTAAATCAGACAGGGAAAAGTAAAATTATCTGTTCACAGGTGACATTATCTTACATGTAGAAAACCCTAAATATTCAACAATAACAACAAAAAAAAATCTGTTAAAACTAATGACCTGAGCAAGGTTGCAGAATACAAAATCGACATACGAAAAATCAATTGAGTTTCTACACATTAACAATAACCAATCTGAAAAGAAGTTTAGAAAATAATTATATTTATACTAGCATCGAAAAATAAATAAATACTTAGGAATAAACCTAACCAAGAAGGTAAAGACATCTACACTGCAAACCACAAAACATTGCTGAAAGAAATTAAAGACACAAATAAATGGAAAGACATCTGTATTCATGGATTGGAAGAATTAATATTGTTAAGATGGCCCTACTACCCAAAAGGACCTACAGATTCAACACAATTCCTATCAAAATCCCAACAACATGTTTTGCAGAAACAGAAAAATGCATCCTAAAATTTATATGGAATTTCAAAGGACCCTGAATGAAAAAACAATCTAGAGAAAGAAGAACGAAGTTGAAGGACTCACATTTCCTGATTTAAAAACACATTACAAAGCTACAGTAATCAAAACAATGTGGTACTGGCATAAAGACAAAAAAGTAGACCAATGGAATACAAGAGAGAGAGCCCAGAATTAACCCCCTGCATATATATGGTCTAACAATTTTTCACAAGGGTGCTAAGAACACTCAATAAGGAAAGGATAGTCTCTTCAACAAATGGTGTTGAAAAAATTGAATATCCATATGTCAAAGAATGAAGTTGAATCCTTATGCCATATACAAAATTTCACTTAAAATGGAATAAAGACCCAAATGTAAGACCCCATGCCATAAAACATTTAGAAGAAAACATAGGGGGAAAGTTTCACAACTTGGCAATAATTTCTTGGATATGACACCAAAAGCACAGGCCACAGAAGAAAAAATAGACAAATAGGACTACATCAAATTTAAACACTTTTGTTCACCAAGGGAGACAATCAATGAATGAAAAGGCAACATTTATGGAATAGGAGAAAATATTTGCAAATCATATCTGATAATGGGTTAATATCGAGAATATATTTTTTAAAAAACCCTACAACTAAACATCAAAAACCAACCCAATTTAAAAATCAGCAACAGATTTTAACAGACATTTCTCCAAAGACGATATGTGCTATGATCTGAGTGTGTCCTCCCAAATTCATTTCTTGGAAACAATCCCCAATGCAACAGTTGGGAAGTGGGGCCTTTTGGGAGTTGTTTAGGGCATTAGAGCTCTGCCACAAGAATGGAGTAATGCTAGTATAAAAAGGAATTTCGGGAGTGGGCTCACTCTCTTCTGATCTCCTGCCATGTGAGGACACAGCATTCCTCTCATCCAGAAGACACCACAAAAAGACCCTCACCAGACGCCAGATTCTAGCACCTATCTTGGATTTCCCAGCCTCCAGAACCGTGAGAAATAAAAGTCTGTTCCTTACAAATTACCCAGTCTTGGGCATTCTGTTATAGCAGCACAAATGGACTAAGATAATATGCAAATGGCCAACAAGCATATGAAAAGATGCTCTACATCACTAATGTAAGGAAAATGCAAATCAAAACCACAAAGAGGTAACACCTCACACCCATTAGGATAGCTATTATTAAAAAAATAATTAAATAAATGACAAGTGTTGGCAAGAATGTGGAGAATTGAAACACCTGTACACTGTTGGTGGCAATGTAAAATGGTGTGACAACTATTGAAAAAGTACGGCCTTTCCTCAAAAATTTAAAAGTAGAACTGCCATATGACCAAGCAATCCTGCTTCTGGGTATATATCCAAAAAAGTTGAAAACAGGGTCTGGAAGAGACATTGGTACACCTATGTTGATAGCAGCATTATTCACAATAGCCAAGAGGTGAAAGCAACCCAAGTGTCCATCGACAAATGAATAGATGATTTATGCATATGATGCAATATATTCAGCCATTAAAAGGAAGGAAATTCTGACACATGCTACAACAGGAATGAAACTTGAGGACATTATGCTAAGTGAAACAAGCAAGCCACAAACAGACAAATGCTACATGATCCCACTTACATGAGGTTATCAAAAGTGGTCAAATTTGTGGAAACAGGAAGTAGAATGGTGGTTGCCAGGGGCAGGGGAAAGGGGGGGGCAGTATTAATATTTAATGAGGATAGAGTTTCAGTTGCGCAGGATGAAAAAGTTCTGGAGAGCTGTTTCACAACAGTGTGAATAACTTAACACTACTAAACCACACACCTAGCCATGGAAAAAATGGTAAATTCTAGGTGTTGTTTTACCACAATTAAATAAACAAATAAAACCTGTTTGGGTTTCAAGACTGGAGAAAGAGGGAAAGAGTGTGTGAGCTGGAAGGAAATAAAGTTGCAGCATGAAAATGATACCAGCATTTAATAATTTCCAAGTCCCACTCTCAACATTTAAAAAGGCAGCCCAGGGTTGGCTGAGTGGAGTAGAGGTGGAAGTCCCTGGAGTTGAGGGGGAGAAGCGAGTCCTGTGTTCACAGGTCCCTGTGGATGCTGCAACCTCCCAGGACGATGCTGGGTGGTGGAAAGGGTGTCTGGGAACCAGGGGGGATTCCAGGTGGACGCGGAGGGGCAGAGGACATGGGACACACAGCAGAGGTCTCAGTGGAGGAGGACGAATGGCCCAGCAATGGGAATGGAGCTTAAATGTCTGCGAACACAGATTCCAACCCTGAGGATGACAAGCTGCCAGAGCAGGAAGAGCCACCACTCAGAAGGAAAGCACAAGAGGCTTTTCTGAGAGGATGGGGGTGTGTGCTGCGCCAAGAGGAGGGGAGGGGGTGGGTGAGGGCTCCACAGTGGAGGGAGCCAGGTTGGGGGAGGGGCGGGGAGTTCAAGGGAGAGAGGAGGAAGCAAAGGGGCAGAGGGTCCAGATGAGGGGGCATCTCTGGATTTGCTGTTGGGGACAATCGGGAGGACAGGTGTGGGGGCCTCAGGGTCCCTGCTGAGTCCCAGGCCCTTTCCTACATGTGTTTGGGCAGAGCTTAGCAGGTCTGGTCCCTCTAAGGATGGTCTCACCTTCGGGTCCAGCAGAGAAGGCGGGATGGAGAAATGGCATCGCCGTGGCTGTCGCACTGACATGCTGTTGGTCTTTCTGCAGGTCAGCAGACTAAAGCCACAACCCCAGCCAGGTGAGTGTTTGTCCTCCTCAAGGGGTTGTGGGGGTAGGAGATGGCAGGGAGGGGCTGGTTTGGGAAACAGGGAGTGTCCTTCTAAGAACTGCACAAGCCCAGCCTGGCACGGCCGCTCTCACCTTCTGGACTTACCCACCTGCGTCCTCCTTGGGCCTCCAACGGGCCGGGCTCTCCACCTCCTCAGACTCCAGCCCCATAAAAGAACAGTGGACTCCGGGTTCCAGCACGAACCTTCAGAGCTTCTCTTTCCCAGAGTGTCTCCCTGGAGTCTTTCTCCCATTTCCTCTTCCCTCCTTTCATCCTGTTCCGAAGCTTTTCCTGCCCTGCATCTGCTCCTTTCAGCCTGGAGCACCTCCTTCCCACACACACCAGTTTTCCACCCTTCCTCCACTTCTCTCTTCACTCTGTCCTTGTCCCCTGCTGAATGCACCAGGGGCCACAGGCTCCCTCTGCCTCCACCTCCCCTCTGGCCTTCCTTGTGCAGAAGCAAAGTCCCAGCCTGTGTCCCTCTCCTCTCCGGGCCTCCCTCACTTCCCCTCATCCCTGTCTTCCTCTCCACCCTCTCTCCTTTCCTCAGGCCCTGGCTTGCCGCTGCCGCTGCCGTGCCTCCCCTGCTGGAAGGAAGCCTCACTTCCTGCCCCTCTCCCTGCCCAGCTTTTGCCAGCTGTCCTTCCTCCTGGCCCTCCCAGGACACCTTCTCCTTCCAGGCACCAGGCCGGAGCACCTGCCCAGAGGCCCCGAAACTCACTCAGTTGGGTTTCTTCTCCCAGTTTTAGCCAAGGCAGTGGCGAAGAGAGAACACAGGGGCTGACCCTTCCTATTTCTCTGCCCCGTTCCTCTCCAGTACAAGCAGCTTCCCTAGAATAATCCACCTTCAGTCAGCCCTGAGGGACCTCTGCTGGGCCACACCACAAATTGCCTCTCATTCCTCTTCCAGGCAGCCTCCTCTGAGAGCCTGGAACCCTCACATTCCTCCTGAGCTTGTCAGGGCAGGTTGCTGAGCACCCCTCAAGCAGAACCAGCCCCTGACACGTGCTTTAACTCTCTACTGCCCAGCACTAATATAGTTCCCATCCTCTTGTTCCCGTACAGGGAATCCTTCCAAAACATGGAGGAGAAATATGAGAATATTGGGAGTAAACGTAAGTCCTTACCAGCATATCCCCACCTCCCACCCTCCATTTCCTGCTTCCCCAAACACCCCCTCCCTGGGCATGCACCATTATTTCCCTCCTTCCCGTTCGGCCACAATCCCCCCACGTGGCCCTGGCCCTGACCTGGCAGATAACCTCACTCCTGGAGCCCTGCCCGTCTCTCTGCCCTGGCAGTCACAACACCTGACCTCAGCACGCCTTGATTTTTTTCCTAGGGCAATATGGAGACCCCAACCTGAACCCCAAGGTAAGCAGTCAGACGAGGGCCTGAAGGAATTAAAGAGAAGCCTGGAGAAGGTGTGGTAGTGGATGGACTGTGGTATGGGCAGGGCACTCAGGTTGTAGGTTCCTGCTGAGACGGGGACAGCGCCACCTCCACTGTCTAACCTGCTTCTCTTTCGTTCCTGCCCAGGATGATATCGTCTATGCCTCCCTTGCCCTCTCCAGCTCCACCTCACCAGGAGCACCACCCAGCCACCCAGACCACAGTGGTCCCCAGGAAGAGACTCTGTACTCTGTCTTAAAGGCCTAACCAAGGCCTAACCTCTCAAGACTGAATGATGAGGCCAGGCATGGTAGCTCATGCTTATAGTCTCAGCTATGCGGCAGGCTGACACAGGAGAGCTTGAGGCCCAGAAGGTCATGGCCAGCGTGGGGAACATAGAAACACCCCATCTCTAATTAAAACAAAGAAAAAAATAATAAAATAAAAAAATTTTAAAGATTGTCTTGCAAATAATTTTTTTTTAAATTTTCATTCATTAAAGTTCAAAGAAAAAGTAAAAGAAAGAAAAAAAATGACTGAATCATGGCCTCCTTAGAGTAAGCTACACTTCCAATAGGAAGATCACAGCTTCCAACAGTAACCAGATGACTTGGAGGTCAGCAGATGTTGAAGGCCCCTATGGCACTGGGAGTCACAGAGCCATCTATCCAATTCCCTCTTCACCATCTTAGGTCTTAGCCCAAAATGAAAATACCCCTGAATATATCTAAGGAGAAAACTGATGTCACCTTCAACTTCTGTCTCTCCCACCCAAACATGAACTCTAGTAGATAACTCACACCTAAGATCCCTCCTCTAGCACTTTGTTCAGTGACTGCCTGAGGCCAGGGAACATAAACCCCAAAATGCTGGTAGCCAGCCCAGAACATACGTCTGTCCCCCAAATCCAACCATACTCTTCCCTTAGGATAATAACTAGCCTGTATTGCATTTAGTGCTTTATAGGCATCACCTGATTTAACATCAGCACCAACCCCATAACCTCATCTGAGGATAAAAATCAGAATCAGATGGTTAACATGCTTTTCCCAACAACCTATGGGTACTAGTAAGCAGCTGAGCCAGGATTTGAACCCAGATCTCCCCTTCAGGATGCTCTCTCAGGACTCAGGTCTCACGGCCGTCCCCAGATTCCTATGCTGTGCACACCTCCCAACACAAATGAGGACATGCCACCACAGTGACACCCCAGAGAGGGGAAAGAGGCCCAAAAGAAGCACATGGTTAGAGACCAGCTGAACCAACCAACCGGTGACCTGCTTTATTAACATATAAACTGTGCAACTCTGACTTGAACAACCCCAACACTTAGCAACTTCTCAGGCACCCACTGTGAGGCTCTCCCCACTGCGCTCTAGGGACAGGAGAACAGGAAGGAGGGCGAGAGCACACAACTATTCCTCAAAGAAGGCCATGGTGAACTCCTCTTCGTCGTCTCTGTGCTGTGGCTCTCCTCTCTGCTCCAGCTCTTTTCCAACATCTTCCATGAGTAGCTCCAGGTCCAGGTCACTGGAGGCTTCATCTTCATGGGGGACACTTGCAGCCTCCTGAGTCAGTGGTTCCTGGAGTCTAGGCCCTTCCTTCCCGGCTGAGGCACAGGCCCCAGCACGAGCTGAGGGGCTCAGGCCCTGTGGTACCACTCGGCCTCCTTTTTCCTCACATAAGCTGGTTGCTGAGGCCTTGCTTTCGGGAGTTTTAAATTGTTTCTTAGGGCCTAAATGAAAAGATGACAAAGTCGAGAGTCCTATTAGGTCAGTCTGTCCTCACCTTTCACAAATTGAACTCCTAAATTCCTATTTCCAAGAAATCTCTGGAAAAGATGACCTTTCACAGCACAAAGAATCTGGGCTTTAGGCTCAGAAGGACTTGGATTCAAGCCGTGGGTCAGCTGTGAGCTCCACATGGGTCTTGAGCACATTCTAAACCCTTTGAGCCTCAGTTTCCTTATCTTTAAAATGTTAAATATCCAGTCCTAGAGCTGTTGAAAGAAAAAAAAGGAACAAGCATGGAAGTACCTCTCTAGACAACCCACAGCAATCCTCGACAAAGGTTAGTTCCCTTCTCCCTACCATTCCCCTGTCCCTAGATCAAATCAGATCAATAACCACTATGTTTATGTAGTGTGTGGTGTGTACAATCTGAGAGGTACTCTTTTGTTCTAATTTTAACTCATTCCTTAAAGTTATGTAAAGCTGTAGAATTGTTAAGAAATGATTCAGGAAGCGGGGATGAAGACATGGACCTCATTCCTCACAGTTCTTCCCCAGCCTTGAGCCTTACCTGGCTGGTCGGAATCTGAATTCCCGTGGCCTTCTTTCCTTCCCGTGATGGATGCAGGAGGAGCTGTGGATTCACTGCCCAGAGATCTCTTCACTGTCTTCCTTTTCAAGGTCCCACCTTGTCCATCTGCTATGCCTGCATCACCCCCACCCCCCAACCATGAAAGAAATATGTTTATTTCTCTCTAAATGACAGCTCAGCAAGGGAAGATGGCCTCTCCACACTTAGTCTCTGCCCTGCCCCGTATCTTCTATTTGATTTAGTGAGTTGTATCAGTGGCCTCCAGTTCTCTAATCACCTTTTTTTTAGCCCCTGGATTTTTTTCTCTTTACAGTTCTCCTCAGAGTCTGCCTTCTCCAGGAAGTTATCCTTCTTGGCTAAGAACTTAAAACCTTCCATCTTTAACCTAAGATTTTATAATTTAATACACAGAAGTGAGGAGGCTCTAGCTTCCCACTCTGACACTATCGGTGAGTCTTGCTGGTTTTCTCAGATCCTGGAGCTGAGATGATCAGTAAGGTCCGGCTACTCACAGTCCCCTTACACTCTACCACTTCCCTGCCTTAACTGTAAGACGTGTCCCATGTCCAGCTGGCTTGCTTACCTCTTGGCTTAGGTTTTTTTGTTTGTGTTTTGATTGACTTGGGACCAGACAAAGTTGGGTCCTGAGGATGTGGGAGAAAAATAAGAAAAAGATAAATTAAGTCACATATCCATTTTTAATAGAGAGGGATTCTACAGTATGATAGGTGAGCTTTGGGGAATCAAATTAGGTTCAGGAGCCTGATATTGTTCAAACGTATGGTAACACAGAGAAAAATGTGTGGTCACCTTCCCATTCTGTTTGGTGTTCATTAATGCAAAACTTTAGGCATAAAAGAAGGAAATAAAGCTAGGCCACCAATATGATAAAAATTGGTAAATTAAAAATTAAAAGAGAAAGTGAAAAATATGTATTCCATATACCTGGAAAAGAGACACTAAGAAAACAAGTGAATGAATATCCTAAGTGTCTGTATAGGGGATAAAGGAGTGGAAAGAAGTAACCTGATATTCCCTGAAATTACTTCAGGAAGAACCAAAGAAATACAGTAGGAACTGAGATTATAATCAAGAAAGAAGTTCCTAGGATGTGAGAAATTAGAATAAAGAAAAAAGAGAAGAGCCTTCTTTCCTGGAGACCCCTAAGAGGAAAGATCAGCCAGTCAGGGCTAGCCTGAGGCAGAGACAGGATGGTCCCTTAGTAAATGTAAATCCATGTTAACCAGACCTCCATAGGAATCTCCTAAAAGGAAGCCCCAAGATCCTTATCTAAACCAATATTTAAGGCTAATCTTACTTTTTTCTCTTCCTCCTCCTCTTCTTCTACCTCTGATTCCTTTTCCTCTTCTTTCTCCAAGCAGGAATCCAGGCTGTTAGTCCCAGAGAGCATTAAGTCTAGAACAGGAAAAGGAAGAAAGGCTAAGTAATTCATCTAATAAAATAGTTGATGAGTTAATGGAGCTGATTCCAGAAAATCTGTCTTCTAACTCTGCCTTCTGTGTCCAAGTGGTATTTTCTCCGTAAAATGTAATCCAGGATTACCATGGCTCCATCCTTTTCAAAGTCCATCACTATTCAACATACGCCCTCCCTTCCACTCCTTTTCCCCTCATTCCTCTCTCCACTCATCTGTCTATCCATCCTGGATACTGGGTCAATGACATGCTGAGAGCCTCCTATTATAGAATCCAGAGCTAGCCTGATGACATAGAATATAAAAAAAGAAAGGTTTGGGCTATTGTTCTCATGAAAGAATCTCTCCCCTCCTTCTCTAGTCCTCGCCCTCCACTTATCATACCTTTTCCTTCCCCACTACTGTCAGGTCTGTTGTATCGGCTCTGGAAACCAAACAAGTTAACCCGCTCCTGAGAGAACCAAGAAACAAAAGCATTATCCACTACCCTCCCAGGGATGGCTTTTGCCCTCTGTCTTCTAGAGTTTAGTTATGAAGAAATTTGTATTCATTTTCCATACCATTTTTCACTCAAAATTTCACATTAGGCTTATCCAGACTTTTATAGAGATTAACTAATTATAATCTCTTTTCCAGTTTGTTTATAATGCAACAAATAATTGGGAAGGGGAAATTCACTGTTTGTCATTCTCCATTTCACCCTCACCCCCACCAGCAGAATTTGAGGGTAAAAACTGACTCCACATAAAAGCGAGGTTAAGGCACATGTATCTGAGACTTGAAGTTATATAGGCAGGGAGGATGCCCCCTACCACAAACTGTATCTGTCTGGACTGCCAAGGGTAGGGAAAGGAATGAATGATTTAAGGAGTCAGGGGAATCTGGCCAGGGAAGACAAGAGGAGATCTAAGAAAAATGCTGTGTAATGGGGAAGGACAACTGGTTTTCTACAGTGGGAGTATATGGTTTGCTTTGTGTCCAGGTCCTGAAGAGAAGCAAGTATGTGGTCTGAACACTCTCCTACCTGAATGCTGATCTGTTCTGCCTCTTGAGCCATCATTAGGGCTGCGCCCAGTTTCTGGCTGCAGTCTTTGTTCCTGCACTTTTTCTGAAATGGAAGAAGATTAGAATCAATGATAAATACTGTCTTAAAGACCAGAATCATCTGTAGCCATACTACCCTAAACATGCCTGATCTTGTCTGATCTCAGAAGTTAAGCAGGGTCTGGATGGGAGACCACCTGGGAATACTGGGTGCTATATAGGCTTATTTAAAAAAAAATAAAAATAAAACAATTAATATATAATGTTAAAATATTTATATTAAAAAAGATTAGAGTCAATAATAAATACTAGAGAAGTGACACCAACATACTGCTACCCACCAGACATTATCTTTATGTTTATTTCCAGTTCCTAGTATTGATATGATACTCCTTAATCTTTTGGGCTCAGACATAATACGCCCCTTCTACCTAATAAACTTCTCACCAATTCCTGGCAATATTTTCAACCAAAATGTTGGTGACCTCTCCAAAGTGAATCCCATGGAACTTTGAAGAGAGAAGAGTGAAGGAGTTCAGATGATTCCACTTTTAAGCTTCTGACAAGTTTCTTTAGATCCAGCTGCTTGATTTAATACTCACTGCTTGATTTTCTAAGGTCCCAGAGCTGCTGGGCCTCTGCTCATTTGTAAGGCTGATCAAACCCAAAGGGACTATGAGGAGGAAATATGATTTAGCTAGCTAATCCAGTGGTTATGAACAGAGGGATATTTTGTCCCCCAGAAAACATCTGGCAACATCTGGAGACAATTTTTCAGTTGTCACAACTAGGGGCAGGAGGCACAGGATGGGAGTAAAGGCTACTACTGGTTAGATGCTAGTAGAGCCCAGGGATGCTGCTAAACATCCTACAAGGCACAGGACAGCCTCCACAACAAAAAATTATGTGGCCCAAAATGTCAATAGTACTGAGACTAAAAAACCCTGAGTTAATCTGTGCCCTCATTTCTGCCACACCTGATTTGGCTAAACTGTAGAAAACCCAGTTTTCAGGAAGGTCCCCAAATTGTAGGCAGGGAAGGTGACTGAAAAAAAAAAAAGATCATTGCCCTGCTGCAGTCCTGGTAGAAAGAAGAAGACTGCCTCATGAATAACCTTGCCCTTGGCACACCTGGTCAGAAACGGAACTTTTTCCCAACACAACTTCCCTTGGGAGAAAATCAGGTTTAATAAAGGGAAAATTTTGTTTTCCAGTTCCAGTATCAAAAAAGACCCCCAGAATTGCTCACCACTCCTGCTAGCTCCAGGGACAGCTCCTGGAAGTTCTTTAACATGTTGACTGGGATCCAAGCACGAGAAACTGTTTCTCCAAAAAATGTCACATGGTACTTAGACTGAAACAAAAGATGGTCCTGTTATGGCCTCCTGTCCTCCTGCTTTCATCCTCTAGTCAGAACAGGCAGGCGGAGAATAGTGATTCACCAAGAAGGAAGTGCTGGGCTTCATATGCTCCCTGAAGCCTGACTCACCTATCCTACTTCATTTCAATTGTTCTTCCATTCTGACCTCAGGAATCCTAGCCAAAGCATATTTATATGTCAGGGCACATAAATGCCCTGACAGTGCATAAATAATTATATATAAGTTTGTTTCTAGATTGGGTACTTATCTCTGTGTTTTTCACCCTAGTTAAGTGTCTGCTTTCACTCATGTTGCTGGCTATGTCTATGTTTCTAACTCTGTACATCTGTTAGGATGGATTTGTTCATTACTTTGGCCTGAGCTCCTACTTACCCTGAACCAGGAAACTCACCGGCAGGGAATCAAGATGAGAAGCAAAAAGAAAATATTCCCCCAGGTCAGGATCAGATTCTACCATGCCTGGCCACCTTGAGAAAATAGATGAGTGCAGGGGACAGAAGAGAAGGGGGTTAGAGGAAAAGACCACAGTCTCATAAATTTACAGAAAAGGATAGTATGTTCTACAAAGGATCCAAAAAATAGATTCCCCTACCCCCAGTCAGTCCCCTCCAGTGGTCACTACCAAATGACTGAAGTGACTTCTATAAATGTACAAATATTCCTAGTAATATTCCTAGTAAATATTCCTAGTGAAGGAATATTTACTAGTAAAGGCATTCCTAGTAAATATTCCTAGTAAAGGTATCTTGTCCTTCTGGGCCTTCCTGAAAAACTAAGAACAAAATTTTCTGACTAGGGACATCTCCAAAGAAGAAACTATCCTACCTTTCCTTGTTCTTTTTACTTCATGTGTCTCTCACATCTCAATATTTAAAAATGCCTTAGATCCACCATCCTCTTTCTACCACTCAGTGTAGCATTGTCAGACCCTTTTTTCCAGGGAGTTACTTCCTCTACCCAGAAACCTCCAGAAAACATGCTCTTTCAAAGCCTCCAAGGTTGGTACTTTATCTTCTCCCTCACCCCATGGTCTTTCTAAGGCAAGTACCATTTCCATTATAAATGTTTTCCATTTCCTTCCCTCCAGGCTTGAATCTACCACTCCCAAGTTCATGAAGCATGCTCTATATCATGGTGCCCTACCAGGGGTAACCATATTGCTTGGCCCAGATGATGGATCCTGGGATGTAGGAGGCATAGGCTATATCACTCTCATGTCCTGTCCAGGTCTCCTCAGGAATATCACAGCTATTATACTCCAAGTCTGCCAAAACAGAGAAGGAATGAAGGGATAGGAAGAGACC